TTCGGTATACACGGATATGGCTGATGCTCACCATGGAGTAGATGCAGAAGCTAGAAGCAATGAGTTCTGTGTACACAAAACAAATAGGCTGATCTTAAAAACAGTTCCAAGTGAAAATAGTAACAGAGAATGAAATAAATAGCATAATGCTACTTAAGTAAAAATTACATATATACAAAATTACATTTTGAAACGTCATACAAATAAAAAGAGATACATTGAACCATTTCACACCCATTAGGATGACTATTACAAAAAGAATAACAAAATAACAAGCAAGGCTGTAGAGAAATTGGAGCTCTTGTGCATTGCTGGTGGGAATGTAAAATGATGCAGCCACTGAAAATGACATGGTGGTTCCCCCAAAAATTAAACATAGAATTACCACTTGATCAGCAATTCTGCTTCTGGGTATATACCCCAAAGCAGCAAAAGCGGGGACTCAAACAGATATTTGTACACCCATGTTCACAGCAGCATTATTCATGATAGTCAAAAGGTGGAAGCAACTGTGTCCATTGATACATGAATGGATAAACAAAACGTGGCATATGCACGCAATGGAATATTATTCAGTCTTAAAGAAGAAGGAAGTCCTGTCATATGCTACAACATGGCTGAATCTTGAAGACACTGTGCTAAGTGAAATAAGCCGGTCACAAAAAGATAAATACTGTATATTTCATTTATGTGAGGTATCTAATATAAATTCATAGAGGCAGAAAATAGGATAGTGGTCGCCAGGGGCTGGGGAAAGGAAGGAATGAGGAGTTAGTGTTTAATGGATAGAGAGTTTTAATTGGGGAAGATAAAAAATTCTGTAGATGGATGGTGCTGATGGTAGCACAGCAATGTGAATCTACTTACTGAAACAACTGTATACTTAAAAATGGTTAAAATGGTAAATTTTATGTTGTGTGTGTTTTACCACAACAAAAATATATATACTGAAAAAAAAAGACACATTAAACACAATAGAAATGGTTTTTGAGGGTGGGAGTATGAGAATGGGGATGAAGCTGAAGGAGGGAGATAACTAAGTGAATTCCTGGCTCTGTAATGGTAAAGTCCTATGTGATGGGGGGCATGATTAACCTCACCCTCTGCTCCCGAGCTGCAGTAGTCCAAAGTGCTCAACCTATAGTGGTTAATATACCAACTGTTCTCCAGTTTACTTAAAAGACAGAGCCTTCAGCTTCCAGCACCTTCCAGTCTAGTGATCATGATATCTCACAGTTGGAGAACTTAAACAAAATTATTTAAAATGCCTGCCCTGTGGGAACATGCAGGCTTAGGTGTTGCCCCATCTGACAGTTGAGGCAACTGAGGGCCAGGACTCTCACGCCAATTGTGGATCTGCTTTAAGCCAGGCTCCGGGCCTGGGACCACAGGGTTAGGGTATTGTTTGTTCTCACAACTCACAAGATGGTTGATGTTGTTGTTGCTACACAGAACAGACACCAGGGATGCAAGGAGTCCAGCTACTGTTGTCCAAATTGGATGACCCCTGACTGCCAGCCCAGCATTGGCCCCTCTGTTCCCAGAGTCCCCCAGCAGGGTTCCTGGTTAAGGTTACAGAGTGTCCCTGGGAAAAAGGGGCTGGGTGTAGGCACTATCCAAGGAAAGTATTGAGAGGGCAGGTCTGACTAGGGCGCAGGGGATTAGACTTGGGGGTTAGGGACAGCCACCCGCTGCTGTGTGCGGAACGACGCACAGGGCCAGGGCTGCAGGGGAGGACAGGATGGGCCCGTGGGCAGGCAGCTGGAACCCAGGGCAGGGTTCATAGAGCTATTTTGAGTTCTCCTGCAGGAGCTCCTTCCCAAAGTTCAGGAACTGAAGGTAGGTCTGGGAGTTGGGGGCCAGGAAAGGTTCCTGGTAGGTGCATGGTATATGTGCGTGTGTGCGTGCGTGTGTGTGTGTGTGTGTGTGTGTGTGAGTGTTTGATTTTACCATTTGCGCATGTCCTGGTGTGTTGGTCACTCTCTCTGTATACACAGGTTGAGTTTCACGTATGTGTGTTTGATGTCTCTGTGTGCCCATGCCTCTGAGATCTGCCTTATTCAGATCACAGTACTTCACAGGGTCCAGGCCTATATGTTTAAGTAAAACGATACATGTCGTGTGAGTTTCCTCCATGACTTCATATATTTTTGTGTTTGTGTCTTTGCACCATATACCTTCATAGAGGTCACTGTGTTTTCCATTTTCTGGGACAATAAGAGTCACAAACACAACCTTGGCTCAGGCCCAGGATCTCCCTCAGTCCAGGTTCAGTTTGCAATATGGACCTAAAAAATAGTAGTTGGAAAACTTGGTTCATTATAATTGCATTTATTTTTAAAAGCACATGTGCATATGGACAGCCACCAAAAAGGGATGCGTTGAAATGAAAATCTAGTTCTATAAAGGCAGTGAGATTAAATGTCTTTAAAGTGTCTTTAATATATTGGCATGCTATTTTTACATTAAAAATGAATACTGTATACCAGGAGACCTCAATCTCTATCTGAAGACCAGCACCAGTCCGTGGCCTGTTAGGATCCGGGCCCCACAGCAGGAGGTGAGTGGCAGGTGAGTAAGCAAAGCTTCATCTGTATTTGCAGCCGCTCCCCAGCTCTAGCACCACCAGCTCAGCTCTACCTCAGATCATCAGGCATTAGATTCTCATAGGAGCACTGGTCCCTGGTGCCAAAAAGGTTGGGGACCGTTGGTGTATACTATATCAAAGTTACACCTCAATTAAAAAAAAAAAGATTTTAAAGAAAGATAAAAAAAAATGTGTAGAGTGAAAGTGGAGTGGGGTCTCTCGAGTGTGAGGAAGTGGATTCTGGAGAGTGGAAGCGTCAAGGCAGTGATTACTTGGACTGTTTGGTCAGGTCTAAGAGAGCTGCTGATGCTCCAGGAGGCCCATCAGTGCTTCTGTGTAGTCAGTCACTGAGTGTGCACAAGGAGTGGGCCTCCTCCCCTCTTAATAACACACACATCTAGAATACTCTGCACCTTATATACAACCCAGCATCTGGAAACATCCTGAGGTTGACTCAGACTTTAAAGGGATGAAATAAAAGAGAAACAAGGAAAAGCTGACCCTCTCTCAACCTAAGCAAAAAGAGGGATACCAGTTTAAAGACAGATGAGTTTACTGGTGGTTGTTTTTGTTATAAAAACAACATGTTTTCATTGTAGGGACATTTAAACATAATGCTAAACGAAAGAACGAGTCACAAAGACCACATATTGTATGATTCCATTTCTAGGAAGTTCCCAGAACCAACTAATCTATAGAGACAGAAGGTAGATTTCTGGTTGCCAGGGGCCGGGCAGGGGGGCAATAGAGGGAAGTGACTGCTAATGGGTACAGGGTTTCTGGGGGTAATAAAAATGCTCTAACATTGATGCTGGTGATGGTTGCATAACTCTGAATATACTAAACACCATTGAATTGTTCATTTTTAAATGGGCAAATTATATGATATATGTGAATTTTATTTCAATAAAGATGTTTTTTATAATAATAATAGCTAACACATATTGAGGTCTTAGGAGAGCTAGGGCCTGTTCTAAAAACTTTACATGGATTAGATTAAGTAATTTAATTTTTATAACTGCCTGTGGTAAGTGTTATTATCATCCCCTTGCTGGAAGAAGACACTGAGGCACGGTGAGGTGACATCAGTGAGGGACCTCGCTCAGATGCTCCTGCTAGACAGTTCTTGCTCTTTACTATGATTAAGAAAAACAGCAACCAGTAACTAGAAATGATCATACCGCAGTAACCTGCTTTTTCATTGAACATATTGTGAACATCTTTGTCAATAAATACACATTTACTGCCTTATTTTGAACAACTGTGGAACATTCTGTCACATGGATCTAACATCATTTACTAAACCAATTTCCCATGACCGGACATGTAGGTTGTTCCCAGTCTTATTTGGTATGTTCAAAGTGCGACTTTAAACATCTTTGTGTATATGCATTTGCGTACATCTCTAATTATTTTCTTAGATTAAGTCCCTAAAAGAATTGTTACTTTTTAGGCCATTACCAAATGGCCCCCTGAAAAGGTATGGTACCGACTTATCCTCACCGCACCAGCTGCATACAGTGAGACTGCATCTGCGGCAGAACCTTTTCTTATTGTCTCAGTTAGTCATCAATAGCTCCCTCCAAGGGAAAGCTTTGTTTGTTTGTTTTCTTCTTAAATCAACAAATGAAAAAGGGTCTGTGCTGAAAGACCTCTCAGCATGGAGCAGAGAGCTAGCTGCCTGCCCTAAGGTGAGGAATAGGGTGTCACCGTTGGCAGGCGATATGAGCAAAGATGCATTTGATGCATTTTTCAGACCTCTTCCCTTGCCCTCCCATACGTGTTGGGGTTCCCCAGAACAACGTACTTGCCTCTTTTGTTTTACATCCTCTCCCTGGGTGATCTTTTACCCTCAAGTCTCTCACCTAACCTTTATAAACTGACTCCCAAATCTACTAATCCAGCCAAACTCGTCTCTAGAGCTCCAGTCTCAAATTGTTGCCTGGATGTGAGGGGCCCACAGTTATTTCAAGTTAGTGTTCAGAACTCATCAGCTTCCTCTGTAAACCTCCTTCATCCTCCACGGGCGTCACCATTGTCTCCCGTCACCCAACCAGCAACCTAAGAAACTCTTCCCTTCTCTCACTCTCACATACAGTCTGTCATCAAACCCTATGGAATCTACCTCCTCATCACCAAGCCTCCATCTTAATTCAAGCCTCCATCACTGCTTACTACCAATTATTACAATAACTTTCAAATCGTCTCCATTCTCTACTTGCTGCCAGAGTGAGAATTCTATAGCACAAATTTAATCTCCCCTGTTGTTTAAAAAATGCTTTCAATGATTTGCCATTGTTTACAGCAATAGGAATATAATGAGAGTGATATATATAATTAAATTTCTTGAGGCCACATTAAAAAAAAGAAAAAGAAACAGGTGAAGTTTAATAATATATCTTCTTTAACCCAACAGTATATACCATTTCAACATGTAATCAATACAAAAATTATCTCTATCTTACATTCTTTATTGCACAAAGTCTTTGAAATCCATTGTACGTTTTACACTTACATCTCACTTTGGACTCACCACATTTCAAATGCTCAAGAGCCACATGTGGCTAGTGGCTACCTGTTGAACAGCACAGGTCTACAAAGTAGCGTCCATAGTCCTTCATATGGCTTAGATGGTACTGAGTGATGTGACCCTGCCTATCTCTGCCTCATCTTTCTTGCTGTGCCCCATATCATATCTTCTCTCCAGCAAATCACAAATATTCCTGATTCTTTTGTACAACTGTACCTTTGCTCACGCCACTTCTTCTTGCCTTCCATGTCCTTTCTATCCCCTTCGATTTCTGCATCCCAGTCCTTCAACTAGATGAACACACCTTCATCATCCAAGACTAGGTTCAAGCATCATCCACCCCCGACCCTCACCAAACCCATAAAGTCTTTCCTTCTCTATCTTCCAGGGTGGGACTGAGTCCTCACTCTACCCTCATACCTCTATGCTAACACCTAGAACCCATTCATGTTCTTATTTAAGTGATTCATTACACTAGATTTTTAAGTCTCTTAAGGTCAAGGAAATTGTCTTATTTTTCTATCCCCAACACCAGTTCCCATCGAAGGTACTTAATAAATGTTTTGCAGATGAATGAATTAATAATTAGGAAACTGAGGCCCAGAAAGATTATTTGTCCAAGATCTGATAACTAAAAAGTGGCATCCTGACTATGTGGCAGGCTCTCAACCCAGTGCTCATTCAGCCACTGGATCAGGGGATGTCACAAAGCCTGATCTGCAGTGTGTGCCTAGAAGGAATTATGTGAAGATCGGTTTGAGGTGCTAATTGCTAAAGTCGACACAACCTAGACCACAGTCCACTGTTTCTGGTGTGGATTCCATTTTAGTTGCATTATATTTTAGTGTTCTCAGTAACTACTAGGAAATGACAGGGACCAAAAGAAACATAGGAGCATGGTGCAGGATGATTCTCAGGTCTCGATCAAGGCTGACCTCACTCACAGAGATAGAGGATAGGTGTGACAGGGGAGATTTTCTCCTGCTTACAAAATATCTGAGGTGCCTGAAGCCTAGTTAAGTGGCAGGAGAACTGACTGACTGAAGCCAGGAGTCTGGAGGGTCTGGTTCTATCGATGCACATGTTCCCAACATGCATGTCATTTATACTCCTAGGCTCAGTTTCTTCATCTGTAAAATTGAGAGTCTGGACTGGCCTTGGGTACTGTAAATATACAACTCATGTATCTTCCTTAGCATTATCCATGGCAGACACTGAGAGTGAATTACCGAGTTCTTTCCTGCCTTGGAATCCTTCTTTACACTCTGCCATATATCTGTCATTCTTCTAGTTGAAGCCTGTTTGCCTTTGTGCCTCTTCTAGCTCTGACTTTCTAATTCCATTCTAGAGACACATTCCTCTGGTCTTTGGGATTCCCCTAACTAGATGTAAATGACTGTGGGAGAGTAACACCTCAGGTTCTTGTCAGTTTTAATGAACTGCTAAACTCTGAGGGCTTGATCCTGCCAAGGCCACCCGGGAAGCCCAGGAGAGAAGCTGGGAGAGGAGGCGGTAGAGAAAGGAAGTCCAGCGTCTACTGCGGCGTCAGGACACACAATTTCACTTTCATTTGTGAGCCGTTGGGCCCATTGCCTGAGCATCTATTGTGGGCAAACTTGCTCAGGGTGCTTTGTAGAAGAAATGCCACAAGAGAAGAGCCTGGCCTCCTGCCCTTGGGTAGCATGCAGTTTAATTTGGGAGCCAGAAAATAAGAAATCTGTTTCTACTGACTTAAATAAGAGAGCAGGAGCTCATCTATCTAATTAATGGATGTGTCATCAAGTGTCCAGGACAGCACTTGGCACAAAGCAATCTCTCAATACATATTTGAATGAATGAATGAAAAAAGAACATATACACACTAACGGAAAAACACTCCATCCTTGAAGCTTAGCTGTGTAAGGTGGAGTTGAGCTCCCAGACAGCATGGATTCATATTTTCATAGCTCTCTCTCTCCTCCTCTCAGGTTTTTCCAAGTGAGGCCATATTACCTTAATGTCTAAAGCACATAAAATTATATACTCCCTCTCAAACTCAAACTCAAACTCAAACCCACTTTTCATGGTTTTGTGGTGTGTGACACCTTCATTAAGTATATTTTTGCCATTGTTGTTATTTTTTTAAGCAGACCCAGGCTGGTTTTAAGTAGGAATATATTACCCATACAATGCATCTACTCGAGGCTGCACCAGGAAATTCTAAAATCCCTTTGTGGAATTGCATCTTCTGTGAAGTTAGGGGTTCTAGACCCAGCATACCACTTGGTTCAGAGCTAGGAACTGATCGTTCTGTAGGAAACTTGTCCAGAAGGGCCGGTCAGCATTTGGGGTCAGTCCACAACTGGTCAGATGTGGTAACTCCAAACATGAATATTAATTACAGGAGGGAACAATACATTTTTATTTTGCTGTCCCTTCAAACTGGAACTAAAGAAGGTGCTGAGCCCACACATATTCTCCTCCCCTTCCCTCTGTGTGTGTGCACGTGTCTGCGTGCATGCGAGTGCATGTGTGCATGCTGGGCTGGCACAGACTCTGCTCACACTCCAACACAGTACTGCTTGAACTTAGTCTTCTCCTGGGAAGTGGGTACACTTCATTCAATTTAGAAGATGTGGACTGAGCACTCACTATGTGCAAGGCCCCCTTGGCAAACTAGGTGACTCAGGAAGCAGAGCAAGTAGGCACTTAGGCCGACAGCAAATCCATACCCCCACTACCCCGCCCCGCTCCCAGCCCAAGGAGAAAAGTTCAGCTTTCTTGCTTTCATCTAGGGTTTTGCAATCAGAATCTCTAGAAGGAAGCTATTTTGAATTTAACACACATGAATGGGTGGCACTTTTTCAAGTTTCTAACTGTTTTTGTTTGAATTTCCTATGAGAGGCCAGATCTCTTAGGCCATCTCAGGGTCTTCCCCCAGCCCCGTCCCAGTGGCAGTCCCCTGTGGGAGTACAAAGATGAATCAGACACAGTCTCCAGGGCGTGGCCCACACAGTGAAATAACCACAGCTCTCCAAGCTTGAGCCCATCGGCCTAAAGCTGGTAAAGAGGAGCAAAGGATCCCTGTGACCACACGGGCAGGACACCACAGTTTCAGAGCCCTGGACAGAAGTTATAGGTAGTGCCTGTGTTCCTTGGGACCAACACAATTACATCCAGGAACCAGAGGTGTCACCTTAGGAACATTCTGCTAAAACCAGAATCTGCTGATCTAGGAGTCAGGGTCTAAGATTCTTTTCCCAGCTCTGCCAGGAATTCTGTTGAGATCTTACGTCCAAGAGTCCTTTGCAAAAGCAGACAACACGGTCCATGGTTTATGATCTACTCCCGTTGCTACCTCAAGAGCTTCTTTGAGAGCCAGGTCCTCACCTATAAAATGATGTAATAAACACAGCTGAGAGAGTAGATGTGAAAGCCTTTAAAAAGCTATGTGGTGGTGGCCAAGATAAATTGCTTTTAGCATCATCTCTCTTTCCCACCACCTACTTAACTCCCTGCCTCCTCGAAAGTAATAATAACAACAGTACTGTGCCAGGCACTGAGCTAAATTATGCATATCCTCATTTATGTAACAGTTCCTTAAACCCCTCCCCTGATCCCAGGTCCTTTCTGTGAAAGATCCAGCTCCAGAAGTTGAAGAAATTTAGTTAAATGGGGCAAATATAAACCAGGCATAGATTCCAGCACCCATTTTACAAATGACCTGAGGATAAAGCAGAGTGCCTCTATAGTGTACCTTCCTCTGTCCTCAAGAGAGCCAGGGGGAAGAAACAGAGGCCATGGAAGACAGATTCCCTCTCCTTGGAGCTCACTCATCTTCTCCCCCAGGCACAGGTGGGTTCTGCCTGTCCTCTAGGGGCACTCACTGACCAGGAACAAAAGTATTCCCAGGCATGAGATGGAGGGTGGGGTGTCCAGGAAAGTAGGTTTTGGATTTTGCTGACCTGGGTCTGAAACTCCACTTCTGTGTTCATTTTACCAGGTTAAGACACAGTTTCAGTGTGAACTAATTTCCCCATCTCTGGGCTATGCTATGGCAAATAACTTACTCATGAGTAATATGGCCATGTTTGTGCAGAGTTTATTTAGATAAGAAAAAACAACCCAGGCCTCATGGGAGGGGCTGCTCAGCAGCGCAGAGCCAACCCCATTTCCTGGGCCTGCCCGCAAGGGCCAGGCCCTCAGGTTGCTGTGGGTGGACTTGGAGGGCTGCTGAAAAGCCTGCCTGCCCCAGACCTCTTTGGGCCCTGCTGCTGGGA